AATCGAGATAGGGATTTTAAAGTTAAATTTAAACGTGTTCTCGATACATATTTTCTAGAAACCCTTTTTACATGATGGTGTTGGGTTAATACAAATAATATGCTACATTTAATATACATATTTTAAGTATAGTGACTTTTATACCAGTTATATCATACTCCAGTCGCGACAGTGCAAAAGACCTAGATTTCGGCCATATTAAGAAACGTCTGAAGGAGTTAGAATGGGCTTTTTCAATAATATCAGAATAGTGTGAACCCCATGCAGGGTACATAATAATTAATATGATAGATGGATAGAAAAAATATTTTTAATCGTTTTTTAAATAGACAAGGTTTTAAACGTTAACATCAGCTTGTTAAAAATACGAACAGCCAAATAATTAAGTGACCTCGAAGTCGTCGAAAATCTACAGTAGGGAACATGCGGCTAACCGCTCTGTCTTCTGTGGTTAGAATGTACGTCACCAACTAACGTAAAATTCAATAAATTGTTACAGATATACCCCTTGTGACGTTTTTGAGCCAAAAATACTTCATCGGCATTTACAGATGCTCCCAACATATTGTTCCCATAACGTAATCGGGACTCGCATAGCGAATTGCCTAGTTAAGATTTATAAAAATATAGTTTGCTCTATTTAGAGTTAAAATAAGAGTATCGCAATGAGACTTCCAGTTTAAAGTTCATTCAAACTCGATCCTAGAAACCTCATGCCGTTATTGGGGATAGTGTCATTGCTTAAACAGATATTAAAATTATCACATTGTTTCTGATATTTATGAAACCTTATACTTTAATTTTTTCTTGCGTACATACATAGAAAAATCTTCCGTATACGTCACAAAAACGTATAACATATATTATGAAGAGTACAGGGCCTAAAAACTGATCCTTGAGAATCACCCATCTCTATGCGTTAACAAGTTGAATTTACGCATTCCATTCTCTTACCACTATAAAACGTAAGGAATACAAATTGAGAACGGTCTTTTAAAAAACTTCTGAGGCCCCTTATACCCGAAGTGTGCAGAGCTTCCCCAGGTTAGTAAAATCAACAGAGTCAAAAAGCTCGACTTAGGTCGCAAAAATTCCAAACGGGTATTCACCATCCTCGATAAAAGATATAACTTTTTATTGTTCCATAGTACTATAAGTATATAAGTATATAAGAGGTTAAGTGGAGTAGCTTTTGATAGGCTTCGCTTCTTCTCTACTGTATATTTGTATATAACAATATACAACAATAAATGCAATTTATTATTATTATTATTATTATTATTATTATTATTAATATTGTATTATCCCACGGAAAAAACAAATTAGCACCGGCTGAAGTCATATCGGATGACATTTTTCTGCAAAAGACATTAATATCTTTGAGAAATAATACTCAAACCCTGTATTTGAGTGTGTCAAGCTATTGCAGCTTTTCTCCTGATTTGAAATATATATGAGTTTTTAGGGTTATTTTTGATAGATTTTGAAACATCCTGCATCTACTTTTTACAAAACAGTTGAAACATTTGGAAACAGTTTTCAGTCAAGCTGTGAAGAAGCCAACAGGATGATTGGCGAAACGTCAGCAAGTGCGACTCAGGCAAAACCGACGCAGGAGGAATCCATGAGTTTTGTAAAAAGTATTACAGCAGCCTATGGAAGTTTATTTGAAAAATCCCGCATCTATTCTTTCAAAAACCAATTAGCCATGAAAGCTGTTGAAGTAGAAACTGGCGTAGTTGACTGTCAATCAAAACCAGGCTACTGCTCGCATTGAGTATAGGAGATTATATCCTCACAGAGTGATTCCAATTAAAAACTAATTTTATAACACTTGTAACGTTGAAAAATAGCGGCTTAGTCAAAAGAAAAAGAAGGCAAGTTTCTTGTAATGTTAAAGAAGAACATGATGTTGTGCTAAATTTGACAGATTCTGAAATATCGCTTATTTTATGTAATATTGGATGTAAGTCAATAATACTATTGTTTCAAAAATCACATTAGCGATGATAGCAGTTATCATAGAAACTGGCGTAGTTAACTGTCATTATATATTAAAATCGTATATACACAGCGGAAAAGTCATTTTGTCGGTATTTTTAAAATGTTACCAAAATAACTGCCCGTATTCCACAGAGATTCCAAGTAAAAAAACATTTTATAGTGGGTTGAAAAATAACGGCTTAGACAAAACTAGAAAAGACAAGCTTCTTGTAATGTTAATGAAGAACATAATGTGTTATATTTTCAAGGTAATTTCAATCAGGAGTTTTAAAATTAAAAGGTTAAATTGGAATTGCATAAACTATTTTTCAAAACATTTAAGCAATTTAAGTAAAAGTTAAATCCAGCGAATTTTAAAGAGACATAAAATGCAGGCTTATAAGTTGACGAAAGATCAACATCTTACAGATAAAGACAGAAACGACTTAAGTGTTAGAACGAATTCAACAATCACCTAATTTTATTCACAACATACTGTTCATAGATAATTTAATACGGCCTCACACATATTTCATAAATCTGGTTTACAATCTATAGGACTTTTTATTGCGGAATTATTTCTTCTAGACTTCTGAGACTCTGCTCTTTCCGAGAAATTATGACAAGAGGTCGATATTCCGATTTCCTTCGATTTAAATTAGAAGAAAATATCGAAGCTACACCTTTATGACAATAGGGCGCGGTACCATATCACAATTTAAGAGACGTAAAAAACTATTTGCAAAATAAATACAATAGGGGAAAATGGTGTAATACACTTGCCTCCTAACAGAATAAGAGAAGAAATTGAAGCCCTAAGTAGGCAACCAGAACGTCTTAGAAGGTGTTTCGTGTATACGTGCAGATGAATGATCATTTCTCTGTGAAATAAATTTAGAATACTAAAGACGATGTTTTAGTAAGAAGTTTTTTTGTGCTATATGTAAAAAAAAAATATTTAGTTTTCATGGCTAATTTGATTTTTAAAACAATAGTTATTGACTTGCTTACAATATAAGATAAAATGCGCAATATTTCAAATTATGTCAAAAGTAGCAACAACTCATATTAATTAAAATCAGGAGAAAAAATGCAAAAATACTCCAACTTTGATAATTTCAATTTCATCGTAGGCTATTTATTTGGTTTTTTAAACCGATATCCTTGAATCCAATTGTAAAATTGACTTTCGTCGACGCTGTTATGTATCAAAAATGACTACTTCTTGCAAGTTCACATCAATTTAGAAAATAGGTAAAAACGTTTCAACAACTTATTATCCTAATAAATAAGGCGACGAACTAATGTAAAAATAACGAAATTTTAAAAATGAAGGCAGGAAATGAATGACAAAAAAATATTAAATATATTAAATTACGAGGTAGAGTGTATGATAAAAAAAATCAGGCACCGACACATTCCCCAGTTAGATTCTGAATTTAGGCATTATAAAAATGCAAAACTGCAAAAAATTTATACTTTCCTAAGAAGTGGGAATCAGCAGGTAACGACACTAAAAAATGATAGACATTCACTACTGGAATCTTTCTAGGAGAAATAAAACAAGTAAAGTATGTCTCATTTTTAACTCCGGAGATAAAAAGTTAATGAATAACTAACAAAATAATTAAAAAGGCAATGAAAAAAGATAAACCGATTCATGGAGAATAATTCACTGTCAGGTAAATTCCAGTTGGATTTTCTGCAAATACTCCGCACCTTCGACGTGCTAAGGACAATCGCTTTAGACCAGAAGAAAATTGTAGTTGTGTCAATAGATTTACGTAAGGCACTTGACCCAGCTTAGATCTTCTTTTGGCGGAAATTACATATTATTGGTTTAAAGGGAAGATTCCATAATGTATTATAATGTTACTGAAACAGGAGCAGTCAGTATGTTAAAATATTATTATCTTACACCACCGATGTCCTACATTAGGAATAAAATGAAATAAAATCAGAATAATCATAGCACGAAAGCGCAAAGAGCTTTATAAATAGAGCAGAACATGTCATGAACATGACATGAACATGAACAAATCAATGGCTTAAGTGACGACATTAGATTTAAGAATTCTTATTCATTTGTTGTTAAAAAAAATATTGCAAAACAGAAATTAGTAAACTTAACTGGTATAAAGAAGTAATGCATTCATTAAAAGACAATAGGGATACTAATTCCCTTGTTTTCTAGGCAAGTGAAACGAACGTTGTCGTGTGTTTTTTGTTTATTATAGGGACAAACGAAAATTTTCCCATGAGGACATGGTGAACTGTATACGCGAAATTATAAACAACAGGGTGACATCCTGTACAATACGTCCACCACCAAGGGAGTCACGAGTCGTGTTGTGTCCGGACAAACACAAATGACACCCAATGATCCCGGTGGGAATCGAACCCACAATCTCCGGCAAGTTCGAGTTGGCAGGTCAACGCCTTACCAACCGAGCCATCCTCGGTCCCAGAGACTTTTTATCTCGCAATTTAAGTTTCGAGGCCAGATCTATCGAAGCGCTGATTTATGTCAACCATTAAATGTACATGTTGTTATTTCTATTTAACAAACCGTTTAAAAAAAAGAGTAAGTTGCCATTATATCTTCTAAAAATCTGCCGTCTGCTGCTGTCGCTCTAATCCCCGAGAAATTTAAATACAATACAACATCGAAAACATACATTCTTTATATTCTGTGTTGGAGTTCAAGACTAGCATTTTAAGTAAATTGCCCGCAATCTCATTCTGATTCTACACTTTCTCCGACTTCCTCGGAAGTATTCAAATAAATTGCTATTAATCCCCATAGAAAGTAGAGGGAATTAAGCTCTCATAGATCGATAAGCAAAGGCTAACGATGTGAGTGAATAGTAAAACATTGTTTACTTAATGCATTGCAATTAGATAATGGTTTCCCAATAGATGGCTAATTATGGATTGTTTCAAACAAAACGAACCAAAAATTCGGTTTTTGTTGCAAAGAGTTACCTTTTTTTATCGACTTATTTTTTTCGTTCCAGGTGGAGAGGGAAATCGCCATAATGAAATTGATCGATCATCCTCATGTACTCGGTCTAACGGACGTCTATGAGAACAAGAAGTACCTGTAAGTAAAAGTGACCAATCGTGAGTCGTTGGTTGGTTCTGGTTAGTCCATGGATTTCAAAAATACAGTGACTAATTGGAAACGATTACAAACGATAATTATAATTGTTGGTACTAAAAAATTTGTTCAAGATATTACGAATATTATATCATTGTTACTATTGTTCGGATGTATATTTCGCCTTCTTGGAAGAAGGGTGAAAACACTAAAAAAAATTCGCATGAAACTGTTCCAAAACCATAGTTGTTGTTTTCTGGGAAAAAACGACAGAATTTAATTATTATTATTTACCACGAGATGGCGTAGTATCGTTATGACATTAAGTTGAATTGTGCGAAGCTTTTGGTAGCAGAACGTCACATTTTCAGTTGCGAGTCGATTGCAGAGGAGATGATATTAATTTTTGATTTTAAAGTGGCGTATTTTGTGTTTTGTGACTGTTTAGTTCATAAAGGTATAATATAAAGTACTTAATTTTTATTAAGGGTTATCATCTCCAAATGTGACTGTTTCTTCGATAAAGGCATTTATTTTAATCATTGTCACTTTTTGAAATGTGTCACTATTTCTAATAAATTTGGTTGTTAATTGATGGTCAAAGAACGAATTCTGTCAAGACAATTTTGAAGTTGTTGCTTTTGATGTACAAATTTGCCCAAAAGGAGATGCATCAACATTTAATTATACTTCGAAATTTCCAGTGTATAATATACCGTTCTATAAATTGAAATCTAAAGAAGTTGTCTCACATAAAGCCGAAGATATAGTCGGTCTCGATCTTCATCGTGTTGGCTTTCGAGGGACCCTGCCCAAAAAAACTTTAAGGATGTTTTGGGTATGTTTGGGATTGGGTAAAGCCAATAACAAAGCGACAAGGCAGGGGTGGGCTAGGTATATATTACTTTCTTCCTGATATGCTTCTTGAGTGTTGACCACTTGTGGCAGTGTTGAAAAATGGTTTTTACTGTGCGTTTCGAAAAAGTTATTTTACGAGAATATAACATTTCGCGCCAAATGATTTGTCGCTTGATGCAAAACAGGTTGCGAAAGAAAAATGTTCATCACACTTAAACAAGAAGCTTAAAATGAAACCTGTCACAATAGCGCCTATTTCGTCGATAAGGGATAATAGTTTAGAATTGAAGAAAAGGAACATACATAGGGATTTTCTAACTCACAGTATAAACAATAGTGATTAGGGCCTGATAAGAAGGAAAATATATTGTCTTTATCAAAGCGAAGTTGTTCCTACCTTGGATAAACTGAAAAAGAAGCTAGCAGAAGATGAAACCAATATTAATATAAGCTGCGCCGTGTCACCTTCCATAGAATTGTCTGTAACACGGGACTTAAGTACCCTAAAATAGAAAAAAGGAAAGTACTAACCAAAACTAACTCAGATAGCACACAATATCCCCAGTATATCCGGCCAATGTCCCATTTAAGTCGCACGCCCTCTGGATGATATTCTTAGGATATACAGGTGTATTGTAAGATACATTGTAGGGATATCCCCTGAATGGAGAGCTTGCGGATTTAGTGTACCACAGATATCTTCTAAATAGATCGCCTGAGGATATCCCCTTGCGCCATAGTGGGAACATTAGAATAGAAACCTAAAAAGGTCAATGTTGAACCACTGAGAAGGAAAATACTTAGTTTTTTTTTTAAATTTGTGGTGTTTTGAGAGACATTTTATTGGAAACGTTTTTGTGCACATCTACATCGATGTCAGTGTCGGCAAGTCCTAAAAAAATGGAATAAAATCGCTAAAATCAACTTATTTTTATTATTTTTGGACACGAACGAGACAAGAAAAATTACAAGAACGTAAAAATAATATATTTGTTTATAAGATCCCATTTGACCAACCAATGACGCGACTATTCGCGGTCGTGCCGTGTCGGACTCGCTCGAGTTTCGTCGGCCTCTCGTCCGTCTCGTCGTCTGCCATCTCTTCAGCCTTGTTTTTTTTTGGTGGTATACCGTATACGGCAACTTGGCGTCTATTTTCAGTATTTTGTGTGCTGTGCTTACTGCTTTCAGTGCTTTCATTTCAGTTATTTTTTTGTGGTATTATTGTTACTGAGGAACTAATAATTCATGTAAGTACAGCTTTATGGCAATATATAACATAAGATTTGATAAATTCTAAGCCGAACGAACCATTATTGTGTAGTCTACAAACATCATGCCTTGTTTTTTATTATTTTGCTAGGTCAATGAGATAGCAAGATCAGGCGGCGGCAGTAGTTGTGAGTTTGTAAAACAAGCTCTGACCCTGCTGATTTCAAATTAACTTGGAATGAAATTTAATTGGTTGGGCGTGAAGAAAAATAATAAAATTAGCCAAATTAATACTTGGTGAGTAGGTATTTTGTTTTTTAAAAATGAATAGGACGTAAATGTAAAAGAAATAAAGTATAAGAAATATAATTTAATAAAATATATATTATCGTGATTGTTTAGTTGATAAGTTTTTTTAGTAGTGATTGCTGGACCAATTTAAGATAAAAATGATTTTCTTGTAACCTATATACGATGTAGATTACATTTTTTTTTTGATTCTAGACTACTTTTTGTATCTTATTGCTTAGTTTTTGAAAACACTTTCGCTGCATGTTTTTTGAGCAGTTAAATTTAGGCATACAAAACTAAACTATTTTTTTATTTAAATAAGCAATATTAGAGCAAATCCCCCGTACAAAATTGTATTTTTAGTTAAATAGTATAGTTAGTATATTTTTTTCTTAAAATGAATGCAAGAATCACTCCGCAAAAACAAAGTTTTAATTTTAGGAATCACCCTTCATAAAGTACAATTCACATTAAAATGGTTGTTGCGATAATTCATGAAAACGATTTTCCTATTTTTTGAAGGCTTGTTTTCATGGTGATAGTAGCTGTCATCACGAGCAAAAAAAATAGGAAAATTTTTAGGTTGACAAAAAATATTGCATGTAAATAGGCATTTACAGTCAAACTGAAAAGTCATATTTGTTCTAGTTGCGCGCGATAGTACCTACTCTCATACAAAACCTGTCTTTCTCAAAGAATGTGAGAATTTAATAGCTGCTGGGCTGAAGAAAGCTGCTTTCATCAAAGAATAAAACCTGTCATATATTAGTTATGCTTTTAGAGTTTAGTTCGAGACCTATCTATCTAAGTATCTTACTCTATATTAAAGATCTTTAGGTTAAGTTGTTCTATATTTTTGCTATATTATATACCTACAATTTTTCTATATCTGCAATAGAAAAACATCAGATGTGTATAAAATATGTTTTATTAATGCTATTAATAGGCAGTATGTCACTTTTACCATCAAAAGCAAAATTAACGATTAATAATTAATTGGAGTAAAAAAACTTGTGCATTTCAAATATGCTACTCCAGTAATGACTTCACCAACCATACCCAATAGGTTAATTACATCACACGCGAGTGTTAAATACTGGGATAGAATTTTTGTACTCGTACAACCAATTGGACTACTGGACATTACCTTTAAAGCATTTCTAATAGGCTGTTGTAAATACCCTATTAATGAAGTAAAGTCTACTGGTATATCTATATAATCCTCACAGTCGGATATACTAACGACGTCTCAACTAGTATAACTGGATATCCTTTGAATATCCTACGGACATACGTATCTGATATACTGTGAACGTTCCAATCAGTAACATCGTTTATCCTTGAGACCTCTTAAGGATATCCCTTGTTTTACAGACGTCCTTGTGCTATTTGGGAATGGAATCACTTGCACTTGCAGATTTCATTATATTCAAGAAATTAAAAGATATAGTTTAGACAACAGATCCAAAACTTACCTTGATTAAACATGGTTCGATACACACAGCACTGTATCCAAAGGATAGGATGCCAGACTAAAGCACCTTCAAATACACGCTGGTTCAAAAGTCGGATTTCTCCAAAACTGCTTGTTGTCTGCAAAGAATATTAAGGATTCCAGCTTGGATTATTATAAGGATACTTGTCCCCAACTGTTTGAAAAATTGTTTGAAAACAATCTTTTAAAAAATATTCCCAGTAACAGTGTTATAACGCAAGCTACCACAGCCGCCTGCTACGGAAAGCACCAGACTCATCAAGTTCAAAAAGTGAAATCCAGGAATATTGGTTAGAAAATAATATTTATTTTGAATTCAGTTATAAATAAGCGTAACTTTTGGAAGTCGCAAATTCATATGCAATTGAAAAACAGTATCTATGCAATATTTTGACTGAACAGGCTGGGCATACTGTTTTACGTCTGCTTCCATATCTTCACATGTTTAACCCCGCAGAGCATTTGTCGAACCAAGTAAAATCAAAGGTCGGAGCAGAAAATATTTCGCCTACTTTAAGTCCCAGTGTTATAAATTTAATAAAAAATGTTATTAATAACATACCAATGGAGGGCTGGAAACATTCAGTACTGCACATTATAATAATTGAGGGGTCTTACATAAATATTATTATAATAAGAACTATATTTAGACAATTATGTATATACATTCCTAGCTATGAATTTATTGTATATATTTAATGTCAATGTTTTTTCTTAATGTAATTTAATAAGATTATACTCACCTAAATAAACATTTTTTTTTTTAATATTACCAAAACTTTTGAGAGTCCATCCCCAATGTTCTGTCCTTTAATACCTACCAATATTGCCGTCAGTAACTTCCATAAGTGCGGGTAAAAGCCAGCACGATGAAGATTGAAACAGACTATAAGAGGAGTTAATGACATTGACATATGCGTACTTCAGTATTTGAAAGCCTAAGTCTTCTACCATTAATGTATATAGTTGATATAGTTTTCTACACAGAAAATTGCTGAGGTCAACAAAAGAATGGCTTTATGATGGCTACTTATCAGTGTGCAGACAATGAATATCTCTAACACAAGTTTCTAGTGAAAGGACCCACCCAAAACGAAGGTTCACTGAGAAGCGGTTCATTTTATAGGCTAGAGTAATATTTTACAGG